GGAAGAGGAGTATGGAAGAAGTGAATGTTTTCAGATACATGTATTTGGGAGTTGACACATCAGCAGATGGATTTATGAAGGATGAGGTTAATCATAGAATTGATGAGGGAAAAAAGGTGAGTGGTGCGTTGAGGTATATGTGGAGACAAAGAACGTTATCTATGGAGGCTAAGAAGGGAATGTATGAAAGTATAGTGGTACCAACACTCTTATGCGAGTGTGAAGCTTGTGTTGTAAATGCAGCAGCGAGGAGGTGGTTGGAGACAGTGGAGATGTCCTGTAAATATTATGCAGAAAATTCAGAGTGTGGAAATTAGGAGAAGGTGTGGAGCTAATAAAAGTATTAATCAGAGGGTTGAAGAGGGGTTGTTGAGGTGGTTTGGTCATTTAGAGAGAATGGATCAAACAGAATGACATGGAGAGCGTATAAATCTGTAGGGGAAGGAAGGTGGGGTAGGGGTCGTCCTCGAAAGGGATGGAGGGAGGGGGTAAAGGAGGTTGTGTGGGCAAGGGGCTTGGACTTCCAGCAAGCGTGCGTGAGCGTGTTGGATAGAAGTGAATGGAGACCAATGTTATTTGGGACCTGACGAGCTGTTGGAGTGCGAGCGGGTAATATTTAGTGAAGGGATTCAGGGAAACCAGTTATTTTATATAGCTGGACTTGAGTCCTGGAAATGGGAAGTATAATGCCTGCACTTTAAAGGAGGAGTTTTGGGATATTGGCAGTTTGGAGGGATATGTTGTGTATTTTTTATTTTTATTATGACACTGGCCAATTCCCACCAAGGCAGGGTGGCCCGAAAAAGAAAAACTTTCACCATCATTCACTCCATCACTGTCTTCCCAGAAGGGTGCTTTACACTACAGTTTTTAAACTGCAACATTAACACCCCTCTTTCAGAGTGCAGGCACTGTACTTCCCATCTCCAGGACTCAAGTCCGGCCTGCCGGTTTCCCTGAACCCCTTCATAAATGTTACTTTGCTCACACTCCAACAGCACGTCAAGTATTAAAAACCATTTGTCTCCATTCACTCCTATCAAACACGCTCACGCATGCCTGCTGGAAGTCCAAGCCCCTCGCACACAAAACCTCCTTTACCCCCTCCTTCCAACCTTTATACATATATACTTCTAAACTGTTGTATTCTGAGCACCTCTGCAAAAACAGTGATTATGTATGAGTGAGGTGAAAGTGTTGAATGATGATGAAAGTATTTTCTTTTTGGGTCACCCTGCCTCGGTGGGAGACGGCCAACTTGTTAAAAAAAAAAAAATAATAATAATAATATTACATTATTACTGTTGTTGTTGTATGGCTTACTGGTTTCCCTGAATCCCTTCACAAAATATTACTCTCCTCACACTCCAACAGCTCGTTACTGATGCCAGTATCATTCACGTAGATCTACATTTTAAGAGCAGCACCCTCAAATGTGCTGAACACAGTAAATTTTGGCCTAGACATGAGCGAATGAGTCTGTGCAGTGGGTGTGCTTAGTATATAAAAAAAATCTTGTCCCAACATGGTACATGATGAGAAAAGCAAACCTTTGACCTTGTAATTGGTGTAAAGTAGCAACTTTGAAGATACACAAACAACCTGCACATAGAGAGAAGCTTATGACAATGTTGCAGGATGATTTGTAAGTCACACTAATACAAGAAGGTGAGGGAGCCAGCATATATTGAATAGGGGGACAGGGATGGAAGAAAGGAGGACTGTAGTAGTAGCATTAGAGGTAATGCTGGTAGTGGAAGCAGTAGTAGAGAGAGTAGTGGTAGACAGAAAGGGAAGTGAAGGGAGGCATTAGTAGTAGTAGTGGAGTAAGTCTAAAGACAAGAAAAACGAGCACTGCCGAAAAGCTAATGGCCTACAAGGGTGGGACAAAAACAAGACAGAACAAACCTAGGCAGAAGGAATGAAAACAAAGAAAAATAGGAAAGGAGAAGAGGCAGGAAGAGAAGAAATCATTAGGTTACGTCACAAGTGTTCTGCTTTGAGCATTTGAGAATACAGTGGACCCTCGGTTGTCAGCCGTTCCGAATTTCAGCCAATTCTGATTTCGGCCGCTTTTTTGGCCAAAATTCTATCCCAGTTGTCGGCCGTCACTTTGAAGATCGGCTGTATTTGACACGTCCACCCCCACTCCACCACATTCATAAGTCAGTCTGGCTGTGTGTCTGGGTGAGTGAGGAAGGCTCCGCGCATTCATCCAAACATTTCGCTATAATCCCTTGTTTATTGTGGTTACTGATTGAGTGCAACTGCAAAAAAAACCACCATGGGCCCAAAGAAAGTTCCCAGTAAAGCTCCTTTGGTAAAGAAAATGAGAAACGCAATGGAATTTAAGAAAGAAACTGTAGCAAAGTACAAGAGTGGTGTTCAAGTGCTTGAGCTTGCCAGGATGTACAGGAAATCCAAATCAACAATCACTTCCATCCTGGCAAAGAAAGTAAAAATCAAGGAGGCTAATGTTGCGAAAGGGGTAAATGTGCTAACGAAACAAAGGTCACCAATAATCAAAGATGTGAAGTTATTGCTGGTATGGATCGACGAAAAACAATTAACGGGAGACAGTGTTGTGGAGTCAATCATTTGTGAAAAGGCAAGGCAGTTGCATGTGGATCTCGTAAAGAAAATGCCTGGAACGAGTGCTGCTGTTAGTGAATTTTGGGCCAGCAAAGGCTGGTTTGAGAGATTTAAGAAGCGTAGTGCCATACACAGTGCTGTAGGGCATGGCGAGGCTGCAAGTTCTGACGAATGTGCAGCTAAAGCATTTGCTGATGAATTCAAAGGGTACGTAGAGGCTGAAGGATTCTTCCCCCAACACATGTTCAGTTGTGACGAAAACAGGTCTCTTTTGGAAGAAAATGCCAAAGAGGACCTACATCACGCAGGCAGAAAAGGCACTGCCAGGACACAAGCCTATAAAAGACAGGCTTACCCTTTAGTTCTGTGGTAACGCTAGTAAGGATTTCAAAGTGAAGCCTTTATTGGTGTATCACTCTGAAAATCCCAGTGTGTTCAAGAAAGACAATATCGTCAAAAGTAAATTGTGTGTGTTGTGGAAAGCTAATAATAAGGCATGGGTCACAAGGCAAATTTTCATTGACTAGATCCATAAAGTGTTTGGCCCCAGTGTGAAAAAATACCTCCAGGAAAATAATTTGCCACGCAAGTTCCTCCTGGTATGGACAATGCTCTTGCTCATCCTCCAAACTTGGAAGACCATTTGTTTAGGGACTTCAGTTTCATAACAGTGAAGTTCTTGCCTCCTAAGACCACTCCTCTCATCCAGCCCATAGACCAGCAGGTCATTTTTAACTTAAAAAAAAAAAAAACTACATGAAAGCATCATTTCGACGGTGCTTTGAAGTGACTTCAGACACTGACTTGACCCTAAGAGAGTTCTGGAGGAATCACTTCAATATCCTCCACTGCATAAGCCTTATAGGTAAGGCTTCATAGGGAGTGACTTCCAGGACTTTGAACTCTGCTTGGAGAAAATTGTGGCCAGAATGTGCCGTCGACAAAGAATTTGAAGGGTTTGAGGCTGACCCTGATGACCCTACGCCTGTTGTGGAATCTACTGTGTCTTTGGGGAAGTCCATGGGGTTGGATGCAAGTGGCCAGGATGTGGAAGAGTTGGTGGAGGACCACAGAGAAGAGCTAACCACTGAAGAGCTGCAAGACCTTCATCTGGAACAGCAACAAACCACAGCTGAAGAAATTGCTTCAGAGGAGGAAGAGAGGGAAGAATGTGCCTTCTTCAGTGATTAAGGACATATGTGCAAAGTGGAGTGAGCTGCAAAGTTTTGTGGAGAAATGTCACCCTGACCAAGCCATATCTGAAATATGTTCAGTGACAAAACCTTGTCCCACTTCAGGCAAATCTCAGAGAGACACACCAGAAACAGAGCTCTCTGGACAGTTTTTTGTGATAGGGGTACAGTGACACTCAAGCTGGTCCTAGTGGCAGTAAAAGACAAAGAAAGGAAGTAAACCCAGAGAGGGCTTTGATACCTAAAGTCCTTATGGAGGGGGGATTCCCCTTCCAAATAATAATCAGTCCTCCCTGTCTTCCATATGCCAACAAGAGTCTTCAATAAAGGTATGTATTAGTGATTTAACTGTTCATTTATTTATTTTATTTAGTTCTCATTGTTTTGCGCATGTAAAACTATAGTTAATCTTTAAAAATGTATTTTTTGTTCATATTTTTGGGTGTCTGGAATATGACTTACCCTTTCAGGATCCAGACCCCTGATCAGACAATTGCTCTCAGGGTCCAAGAATTTTCCAAAAAAATTCTTATGAAATGAGAAGAGAAAAATATGAAATTTGATGGAAATCTTCCAGAACTACACTTTCACAAAATCAGCGGTCTCGGCGATATTTATGCAGTGGCAATTCTGCCCTCTTTGAGTCCTATTTTAGGCCAATTCCCTTGTTCCAGTTGACCAAACTCATAGTTATTTTGCTAGTATTCCTTCCATTCTATCAAATGAGTACAAGAAACCACCCACTAAAAAACAATGGAATAATACAAAATATATCGCATGTATGCGTGAAACCATCCGCCCTGGCTTGTAAACAATGGCACACTAGCTGAAGGCAGGGCAGCTGAGGCGCTCAGGCTGGACGGCAGAAGGCGGACGCATTCGGGACTAATGTTCTTACCTGAGTTTTTCATCATTGGTCGAGCCAATGTTTTTACGCAAAAATGCATTGTTACCCAATTTTGTCGAGGGTCCACTGTATTAAGGCACAGACCTCCAAGGGGTTAATAACAGTCCAGAGCAGACCAAAATTCCACTTAAAAATTTATCTGCACATCATGGGTTAGTTGTATATTTTAGAACTCTCTGAAAGAAAAGGTAAGTAGTCCTAAACATGAGTAAAAGATCAGGTAATTTTACTATAAAAATATGGAAATGATGTAACTACACAGCACAAATACCAACAATTTAAAAAAAAAAAAAAAGAACATTACTTACTGCAGTGCGTGCCCTGATTGTAATACGGTACTTTGTTCCTGGCTTCAGAGATGCAAGTTTAGCCCTTGTTAACAGGGGATCATTTATGGGTGGATCACGTTCAGACTGAGGGCCTGTATTAGTGCCTTTAACCTCTTGATAGTAGATGTGGTAACCAGTCAAAATACCATTTGGTTGTTTAGGCTTTTTCCAAAGGAGGAAGAATGCAGATGATCCCATAGGAATAGCATCAAGAGAATCAACAGGTCCAGGCTCTGCAATGAATGTTACAAAATATTAGTAGAATTTATGATATCAGCCTAAACCAGTAGATTGCTATAATCAATACAATATCAGTTAAACCAAATCTGATTTCTACTGTAAGACAAATTCATGGATTTATATATTAATCATGCAAATTTTATTTTTACAAAAACTAATCAAGGCAGGACAATACATATGCTCTCCACCCTCTCACTAAGAACACTGAGGGCATTAGCTGTAAACATGGAGCATATAATGAGGGGAAGGTGTGGGAAATGAGATTGAGATGTGCGTTAGTACTCTAAGTGATAAGACGATGTCACTCGCCCAATCCTCTCCTTAACCATTTATTTACAATGGCTGATCATTGCAATTGCCGAATTTGCCACTCTTCTCATCCTCAAGACTAGCCAATATTTTATTTCCTTTCAGTTTATTAATGAAATTCAATTCAAGGTTATAAATAAATAAATACATATTGTTCAGTTTATAGTGTGGAGGAGTGCTGAGGGTGACTGTATGGGAGAGGATGTCACCTGCCCATTCCCCAATCCTCTCCTCCAGTCATCCACTGATGTGTACTAGCAGAATGACTGCTAGTACACATAAATAATAAATTTACATTTCTTTCATCCATGAACCAGTGGTGGGCTTACTACAGTGCATCCCCACTCCAATGTAAGGAATCAGTTTGCTGCAGTGCTCCTTTACCATGTTCTTATGTAATAGCTGGAGGGCAAAACCTACTTAGCATTGGTCAGTAGGCCTATTGCAGTGCTTCTCTATTCTTATATAATAGCTGAGTGTAACTAGACCTGCCTAGGAAGGTCTAATAATAGTGTGTCTACAACAACAGATTGTAGTTGATAAACACACACAAGCAGAAGCTGAAAGCTTCCTTACAGACAATTTTTTTTTTCAGCAGGTTTATTCAAGGCAATTTCAGGAATTAGGCAAAAAATTGACTACTATTAATGGTCTACTGGTCCACATTGGATAAATTCTGAGAGATAGTGTCATACTGATTTGTACCATGGAAAGTAATAGTGGTACAACCATGCTGCTGATAAAATTTAATGCTACTACTCACCATGGTACAACTCATTATAACAATCTGTCTCAGGATTTAAATACCCAACACAGGATAACAGGCCATTAGCAGTGCTCCTAAATTTCTGGTTAATTCTTATATGCATACCACACTATATTCCTGTCTTTTGTCTATATACTGTGCTACCATAAGGCATAATCTATCAGACTTCAAAAAAAAAAAAGTCTGCTGCACAGGCAAAACATTTGTCTGAAATTAAGATTCCATTTGCTGTTTATGTCTATCAAGTTTTCAGCACCATTTTTAGTTTTTCAGTATTTTCATCCAAGTTTAGGGTGGAATATATTTTTGCATCAGAATCATATAACCCCTTTTCAAGTGCCTCAAAAACTAGGTTATACATGCATGCGAGATATATGAAGATTAAGGAATTTTTTGGCAAGTCAAGTCAACCTATACATACAGGAGGGAGGTTATAGCCAAGTATATGCAGTAGCATCCTGACTTAACCTTAATAAATTTATATAATTTAATCCTATCCACTCTAAGCCCAGAATAAATTTAGTATATTTAACCTAAATGAAATAATGTTAATTTTATAATCTTCAGAGTTTCTCACAACTATAGCCAAAATTAATATGCAATCAAGACTATTAGGCAAAAACGATTGTGTTTTAAAAATCGTCAGCAAGTTCCAGCTAAAAAGCATAATGTATATTTAAGTGCTGTTGATTGTAAAGTACATTGTGAAGGCATTTAAGGACAGCAGTTAGTGGGCTAGAATTATGGAGGTGAGAGGTACAGCACCTGCACTTTGAAGGGTGAGTGGGGATGTTGCAATTTTAAGGTCATTCGAATTGTGAGAAATGCACACTTCTAGCAAGACAAATACTGAATAAATGATTGACAGCATTTTCTCTAGTGTGTCATTATGTTAGTGGAAAACAACAAACATTATAAATGAGATGAAATGAGGAACTGGAATACAGGTACAGTGTATATCAGTTAAAGAAATTAATAAAAATAATTAAGGTAATATAGATACTATGGATGAAAGCATATACATATAAGTAAATATGTACATATAATGTATATGAGGAAAGGAGAAGCAGATTACAGTAAAAATATAGGATGAGGGAATAAGCGAATAATGATGGCATTACATGGAAATCAGAGACAAACTGTTGCAAAAACTTACTGCCTTCTGGTGTTACAAAGCTGATAGATTCACTGGGAGGACCATCATAAGCACCATTGAACACTAGCACACGGACAAAGTTTTTGGTGAATGGAACAAATGAGGTGACAAGAGCACTTGGTTCATTGTTATTTTCCACAATGATATCTCGTGCCTTCTCTTCACTTTCATTTTCAGTCCAAGTCTGAATCTGCAAAATCAACGCTTATTACACTTATGGTTCATGTATTATAATTAAAATCAAAACTAAGTGCTAAATATGGTTCACAAAGCTTTTTTCTTCTTTCAACAAACTGGCCATATCCCATCGAAGCAGGTTGGCCCAAAAAGAAAAACAAAAGTTTCTCTTTTCAACTTTAGTAATGTACACAGGCGAAGAGGTTACTAGTCCTTTGTTCCCGGCATTTTAATCGCCTCTTATGACACGCATAGCTTACGGAGGAAGAATTCTGCTCCACTTCCCCAAGGAGATAAGAGGAAATACAAAGAACAAGAACTAGTAAGAGAATAGAAGAAAACCCAGAGGGTGTGTGTGTGTGTGTTTTTTTTTCAACAAGTCGGCCGTCTCCCACCGAGGCAGGGTGACCCAAAAAAGAAAGAAAAAGAAAATACTTTCATCATCATTCAACACTTTCACCACACTCACACATTATCACTGTTTTTGCAGAGGTGCTCAGAATACAACAGTTTAGAAGCATATAAGCATAAAGATACACAACATATCCCTCCAAACTGCCAATATTGGCAGTGTGTGTATATATATATATATATGCTTGTACATGGATGTATAGTGTGACCTAAGTAGAAGTAGCAAGACGTACCTGAAATCTTGCATGTTTATGAGACAGAAAAGAGACACCAGAACCTACCACCATGTAAAACAATTACAGGCTTTCATTTTACACTAACTTGGCAGGACGGTAGTACTTCCCTGGGTACTAGGTTTCACAAAGCTATAGCCAAATAACTTTTTTAAAGCAAATCAACACCTAAACAATAATTCTCATTTCTCTGGGATGTGATGGGTTGGGAAAATAATGCATAAATGTTTCTGCAGAGGATAACCCAAACATGCAATGATTACACATTCTATAATTCTGTCTCCCACACTGGCTTTCACTTACAAAGCAGTGTCTATAAACCTGTTTCTGATATGCATGTTAGGGAGATAAACAACATGCAATATTTCCATATTCTCCTGCTTTCATTGCCTTTCTTGTCATCGTCAGGACCATTATCATACATTTTTGCCCAAATTATAAGTAAAAAATATGTAAATTTTGGTTGGGTGTTTAATCCTTTCAGGGTCCAGACCCCTGATCGGAAAATTACTCTCAGGGTCCAAGTATTAAAAAAAAAAAAAAATCACACAAAATGATATTGTTTTTCCGAAAGAAATGACACCAAAACTATGAAATTTGATGGAAAATTTACAGAATTACACTGCCACAAAGTTAGCTGTCTCGGTGGTATTGATGCACCGGTAATTTTGCCTACTTCAATTCCTATTTTAAGCCGATTCCATTGTTCCAGTCGACCAAACTTTTAGCTATTCATTATTATGCCTTCCATTCCATCAACTGAGTATAAGAAACTATCCATTTAACTATTTCAACTATCCAATAAAGTGACCAGAAATCAGTAATTTAGCCAATTTTACATTCCAATTTAAAAATAGGGTCCAGAATAAGCAATGTAGACATTCCTGGCACTAAGCAACATTTCCTCTGTTCATTAGTTATGTCCCCAGGCTTTCCCTATATTACACTTTCTTATCATTTAGAATTTTTATTCACACAAAAAATAGAAGATTTACTGTTATGCAGATTGTTGCATTATTGTAATAATTGTATAATGTCAGCACATTTGTGAATGTGTATTAGACTAATCAGTTGGATGCATATTGGATGAGTGATGCAATTTGTGTCCTCTGGAATGTCAGCAAAAATTGAACATTTCTGTTACTCTGAGCTCAATTTCAAGCTACTTCCAGTCCTGAAACCAATCAAAATCATCTCCATTTCTGTAATACATCTTCCATTCTATCAAATGATACCAAGAAACCTAGAATACAATCACAAGAACCATCTGAAAATACACCATAAATTCTGTTTTTTACCAAATACACATAGCCGTAGTTTTTTTCCCCATCATGTGTTCTGTGGGCCAGGATTTTTTTTTATATGATGCACACTCACTGAATAGACCCATTCTCAAATATCTAGCCCAAATTTACCACTCACTGCTTAGATGTAATTTCAATATACTGAAATGCTAACACAGCACAACCTACATCTACAGTGTAATCAAAATTTTTAAGAATTAATATTTATATATTTAACACTTTGACTGTAGGGAATCTCTTTCTGAAGGTAATGACACCAAAATAACAAAATTTGAAGGAAAACTTACTGAATTATGCAGGTGCAAATTTTGTGGTCTTGGCGAAATTTACGTATTGGCGATGTCGCCCACTTTTGAGTACTATTTGAAACTAATTCCATTACTCCATTTGACCAAATTTGTAGCTATTTCCCAAGTATGCCTTCCATCCTATCAAGACTGTAGTTGAAATGGTTGACCCAGTCAACCTTTTTCAATTACAGCCTCTCCTCACTCAGCGACGTTCTCGTTTACCAACCACTCAGACTTACAACCAGCTCTCCAACCAGTATGCAAACCTAAGTAATGTACATTGGAGCTGATTTTTATTCTGTTTATTACAGTATACAGTACACTACTGTATAAACATTTAAAAATATACTAGAAATGCTTAAAATGGTGCAAAGGTGGCATTAAAAAATATCTAAAGTTGGATGACACAAACTCACTACCAGTATAGTATACTCCTTGCTTAACCCCTTCACTGACGCAACCCCAAATCCTGAGGTGTCTCCTGGTGTCGCAAAATTTAAAAAAAAAAAATTATTATTTCCCATGAAATGATAGAGAATCTTTTCCCGATTGTAATGACACCAAAAGAACAAAATCTGATGAAAAACTGATGGAATTATGCTCTCGTGAAGTTAGCGACCTCGGCGATATTTACGAATCGCCGATTTCACCCACTCTGAGCCCTATTTTCGGCTAATTCCGTTGTTCCAGTCGACCAAACTCATTGCTATATCTTTAGAACTCCATTTTTTCATATATGACTGAGTATGACAAACTGCCCATTTACCGATTTCAACTACCCAATATTGTGGTCAGAAATTTGCAATTTGGCCAATTTCATGAAAATTAAAAAATATGACAATTTCAAAATAGGGCTCAGAATGAACAATGCAGACATTTCTGGCTCTAAAATAACATTTTATTTGTTCATCAGTCATGTCTCCAGGCCCCTCTGATATTACTCTTGCTTTCTATTTTGAATTTTTATTCAAACAAAAAATAGAAGATATACTGTTATGCAGACTACTGCAATACTGTAATAATTGTATAAATAATGTCAACCCATTCATGACTGCATATTAGAATGGCTACTTGAACATTATTGGAAAATGACATTGTTTACTTTTGAACATCAGCAAAAATCAAACATTTCCCCTACTTTGAGCTCCATTTCAAGATTCTTTTCATAGTAAAACCAGTCAAAATCACCTCTATTTCTATAATATGTTTTCCATTCTATCAAATGAGACCAAGAAAATGAGAATACAACCATAAATACTATACGAAAATAGACCACAGATTCGGCATTTTAATTAAAAAAAAAAAAACGGTCAGTTTTTTTTTTCTCATTATGCACTGCGTGCTGCAGGATTTTTTTTTTTATATGGTGCACACTGACCACACAGACCCATTCTCTCACATGTGGGCCTACCAGCTTTCTCCTGCTTGATTTGAAGCCACTAGAATTTGAGTAAATATACGTCAAAAACGGTGGCTCATAAGACGTATATATACGACCAAAACAGTCAAAGGGTTAACCCTTTCAGGGTCGACAGGCCCTCTCCCAGACTTGTTCTCAGGGTCGACAAATTTAAAAAAAAAAAAAAAAATCTTATGAAAACATAGAGAATCTTTTCCCGATCATAATGACACCAAAAGTATGAAATTTGTTGGAAAACTTACGGAATTATGCTCTTGCGAAGATAGCGGTCTACACGATGTTTGTGCATCGGCGATTTTGCCCACTTTGAGCCCTATTTTCGGCCAATTCCAGTGTACTAGTCAACAGAAATCACAACTATTTCACTAAAACTCCATTTTTTCTATCGAATGAGTACAAGAAACCACCCATTTACCAATTTCAACTATCCAATACAGTGGTCAGAATTTAGCAATTTTGCCAATTTCACACAAATTTCAAAAGATGCCAATTTCCAAATAGGGTCCAGAATAAACAAGAAAGACATTCCTGGCATTAAAATAACATTTCCTCTGTTCATTAGTCACATCCCCATGCCCCTCTTACATTCTTTTGCTTTCCACTTTGAATTTTTAATCTCACAAAAAGTAAAGATTTACTGTTATGCAGACTACTGCATTAGTGTAGAAATAGTATATTATTATTATAATCAAAAAGAAGCGCTAAGCCACTAGAAATGGTATAAATAATATCAGCACACTTGTGAAAGAATACAGTATTAGGCTCACCAGTTGACGTGCATTGGACGCGTAGCATGATTTGTTTACTTTTGAACTTTGGCAAAAATCGAAGATTTCTGCTACTTTGAGCTCAATTTCAAGGTACTTTTCATTGTAAAACCAATCAAAATTGTCTCAATTTGTGTAATATGTCTTCCATTCTATAAAATGAGACCAGGAAAACTAGAATACCATCATAAATACCATACGAAAATACAGTCCAAAGTTGCTGTTTTAAACCAAAAACACTGTCAAAGTTTTTTTTCTCATTATGCACTGTGTGCTGCAGGATTTTTTTTTTTTATATTGCACACACTGACCACATAGACCCATTCTTTCACATGTAGGCCTACCAGCTTTCTATCACTAGATTTGAGGGTGCTAGAATTTAGGCGTACTAGTACATCAAAAACCCTGGTGCGTAAGCCGTACTAGTACGTCAGAAACCCTGAAAGGGTTAATGACCAATTTGCTTACCAACCTATTCTTAGGAATGGAACCCTGTCATTAAGTGAGGAGAGGCTGTACTCTAAAGTGCACAATTCATTAACTTGGCCAATTTTACACAAAATTCCAAAATATTAATTTAAAAAGGCGTGTGTAAAATCGAAACCTGTAATTGTTTTACATGATGGTAGGATTGCTGGTGTCTTTTTTCTGTCTCATAAACATGCAAGATTTCAGGAAAGTCCTGCTACATGTATATACATACACCCCTCTGGGTTTTCTTCTATTTTCTTACTGGTTCTTGGTCTTATTTATTTCCTCTTATCTCCATTGGGAAGTGAAACAGAACTCTTCTTCCATAAGCCATGAGTGTCATAAGAGGCAATTATGCCGGGAGCAAGGAGCTAGTATCTCCTTTTCTTGTATAAATATGGTGGGATATGGCCGGTTTGTTGAAAGAAGAAGAGTAATTTAAAAATAGTCTAAAATAAATAAATTAGACATTCTTTTCACTAAAACATTACTCATGTCCCCCAGGCCTCTCCTATAATACACTTGCCTTCCATTTTTAAATCTTCATTGCACACAAAACAGAAGATTTACTCCATTTCTTGGATAATGAAACATAACTAATATAATTTAATATAATTAATACAGTGGACCCCCGGTTAACGATATTTTTTCACTCCAGAAGTATGTTCAGGTGCCAGTACTGACCGAATTTGTTCCCATAAGGAATATTGTGAAGTAGATTAGTCCATTTCAGACCCCCAAACATACACATACAAACGCACTTACATAAATACACTTACGTAATTGGTCGCATTCGGAGGTGATCGTTATGCGGGGGTCCACTGTATAATTAAAAATCCACAAAACAGACTGGGGAGTATAGGGAGGCCTTACCCTCCCTCAGGAAAATCTCTTACGTAGACCTACGTTACTGACACCAGCACTGCTAGTTTTGAGGTCAGCTCCTTCCTCAAACAATGAGCAATAAATTTTGGCCTAGACATGAGACAGTGGGTCTACTACCATGATTTATGAAGGGGTTTGGAGTTATGGAATATAGTAGCAATGACAAATGGATGGTCTGTTATCTTGTATTAGCAGAATTACACGAAGCCCAGCCTTTTGTACATCTTTCCCCTATCCTGGTCTGATCTTAAATGCTGGCCTATGGCTGGGGCCAGGTGCTGTTCAAGCGAAGTCATGTGACACAGAGAAATGGGCAGAGGCCCACACAGGAGCGAATATAAATATATATTACACAAGTATTGTAGGTAGGTAGTAGGTTGGTAGACAGCAACCACCCAGGGAGGTACTGCCGTCCTGCCAAGTTAGTGTAAAATGGAAGTCTGTAATTGTTTTACATGATGGCAGGATTGTTGGTGTCTTTTTTCTGTCTCATAAACATGCAAGACTTCAGGTACATCTTGCTACTTCTACTTACACCATGGTTACACTACATTTGCATGTACAAGCATATATATATACACACCCCTCTGGATTTTATTCTATTTTCTTACTAGTTCTTGTTTATTTCCTCTTATCTCCATGGGGAAGAAGAACAGAATTCTTCCTCCGTAAGCCGTGTGTGTCGTAAGAGGCGACTAAAATGCCAGGAGCAAAGAGTTAGTAACCCCTTTTCCTGTATACACTACTAGAGTTAAAAAGAAAAACTTTCGTTTTTCTTTTTGGGCCACCCTGCCTCGGTGGGATACGGTCAGTTGTTGAAAGAAGATTTCATTATTTGATAAATAGGCTAAAACTTTTTCCTTTTTTTATCATGGATTCAAAGTGGAGGGCAAGGGTAATATAGGAGAGGATGGGGATGTGATTAATGAGCATAGGAAAGGTTTTTATAGTTGCTGGAATGCCTAAAGTGTTGATATTAAGCCTTTTAAATTTGAAATTTTGAAATTTTCAGCAAAATTGGCCAAATTACCAATTTCTGTGCACATTACAGGGTAGTTCTAATAGTTGAATAGGCAGTTTCTTAAGTGCTGAATCAGTAGAACAGAGAGTATATTAGCAAAACAGAAATTGTGCCAAACTGAGCATTGAAACTGGGTTAAAATAGGAGTCAAATTCAGCGAAATCACTGATGCGTAAATTGCACCCAGACTAACTTAGCACTTGCGTAACTCCAGAAATTGTCAATCAAATTTCACACTTTTGATGGGACACTGTCAGTACTTTTAACTTCAGGGGTTGTGACAATGAAAGGATTAATAAATCATATACAGTGGACCCCCGGTTTACGATCACCTCCCTAAAGTGTATTTATGTAAGTGCGTTTGTATGTGTATGTTTAGGGGTCTGAAATGGACTAATCTAATTCACAATATTCCTTATGGGAACAAATTCGGTCAGTACTGGCACCTGAACATACTTCTGGAATGAAATAATATCGTAAACCGGAGGCCCACTGTACTGTGGAACCTCGGTATATCACCAGCTCCCTAATTGAACAAAGCTCAGCACTCGACCAAACAAATATGACCAGCCAGAACTTCGCCGTAAATTATTTCGTGTTTCTTCGCATTTTTTTTTTTTTGTATTATTTGTATAAATAAGTCACCATGGAGCTTACGAAGATTAGTGATAACAGCCAACCCAACCAAACAGAAAACTGGTTGGGAAGAACTTGTTTGATACTCAAATGGAACGGCACTCGAACAGCCTTCTAGAATGAATTAAGGTCACATACCGAGGTTCCACTGTATAAGATTTCACTGACTTTCTAGACATTCATCTTTTCAGAAATTATGAAAAAGGCTGCTTTCATTACTTGCCTATGTTAATAATTATTTTTTTTATTATTATCACACTGGCCGATTCCCACCAAGGCAGGGTGGCCCGAAAAAGAAAAACCTTTCACCATCATTCACTCCATCACTGTCTTGCCAGAAGGGTGCTTTACACTACAGTTTTTAAACTGCAACATTAACACCCCTCCTTCAGAGTGCAGGCACTGTACTTCCCATCTTCAGGACTCAAGTCCGGCCTGCCGGTTTCCCTGAACCCCTTCATAAATGTTACTTTGCTCACACTCCAACAGCACGTCAAGTATTAAAAACCATTTGTCTCCATTCACTCCTATTAAACACGCTCACACATGCCTGCTGAAGTCCAAGCCCCTCGCACACAAAACCTCCTTTACCCCCTCCCTCCAACCTTTCCTAGGCCGACCCCTACCCCGCCTTCCTTCCACTACAGACTGATACACTCTTGAAGTTATTCTGTTTCGCTCCAAATTAAATTCAAGAATATACAGCATTGCTAAATTTCCCATACGACAATGATCTTTTAATGAAAACAAACTCCATCATAAACCATACCCCCGGCCGGGATTGAACCCGCGGTCATATTATTCCCCAAATATATTACTTAACAGCAATTAAGATCTATTCTTTCTAGAAAATCATACTCACTTTGTATCCCTTGAAGTGTCCTCGGATAGATTCATTTGAAACGGGTTCCCAAGACAGAGAGTGCAGTAGTTGCATCCTTCAGATCAAGCAGAGTCAAATTCCTTGGAGCTTCTATCGGAACTGTTCAAAATATATTAAAGCTGTGATTACATGTTTTACAATAGATAGAAAACAAATCTGATAATGAAAGGGACCCTTGTTTTATAGCTATTAACAGAATACTTTCATTTTAAATGTTGCACAAGATAATGCAGTTCGTATTAAGTTAGGAGGTGAGACCAAGATCTTGAGTCTAACCCCCTATTCTCCCCTCAGAAACTAAAATAGCTAATTAGACATATCTAATAGTTAAATTTATTACTAGCATACACTTCCTTGATTCGAGATGAAATTTTTTCATATACAAGTAAGAGTAAGCAAGTATGAATATGTGGTGTGTAACTGCAATATCTGCTTGACTCTGTGGATAGTGAGATCTAGCACTTGACCACACCACTTTACTCTTGAACTTTGGCTGCTTAAATGGTGAGACATCCATATTTACATATTCTCTGCTTACCTCTGCATAATCATGGTGAAAATAGAAAAAAATAGAGGTTGGCAGACAGCAACTGCCCAGGGAGGTACTACCATCCTGCCAGATGACTGTGAAACAGAAACCTGTAACTGTTTTGCATGATGGTAGGATTGCTGGTTTCTTTTTCTGTCTCATAAACACGCTAGATAACAGGGATATCTTGCTACTCCTACTTACACTTTGGTCACACTTCACAGACAGGCACATGCATATATATATATACATACATCTAGGTTTTTCTCCTTTTTCTAAATAGCTCTTGTTCTTCATTTCTTCTATTGTCCATGGGGAAGTGGAAAAGAATCTTTCCTCCATAAGCCATGCGTGTCGTATGAGGCGACTAAAATGCCGGGAGCGATGGGCTAGTAACCCCTTCCCCTGTAGACATTTACTTCAAAAGAGAAGAAGAAAAACTTTATAAAACTGGGATGCTTGAATGTGCGTGGATGTAGTGCGGATGACAAGAAACAGATGATTACTGATGTTATGAATGAAAAGAAGTTGGATGTCCTGGCCCTAAGCGAAACAAAGCTGAAGGGGGTAGGGGAGTTTCGGTGGGGGACATAAATGGGATTAAATCTGGAGTATCTGAGAGAGTTAGAGCTAAGGAAGGGATAGTAGTAATGTTGAAGGATCAGTTATGGAAGGAGAAAAGAGAATATGAATGTGTAAATTCAAGAATTATGTGGATTAAAGTAAAGGTTGGATGCGAAAAGTGGGTCATAATAAGCGTGTATGCACCTGGAGAAAGGAATGTAGAGGAGAGAGAGAGAGATTTTGGGAGATGTTAAGTGAATGTACATGTATAGGAACCTTTGAACCAAGTGAGAGAGTAATTGTGGTAGGGGACCTGAATGCTAAAGTAGGAGAAACTTTTAGAGAGGGTGTGGTAGGTAAGTTTGGGGTGCCAGGTGTAAATGATAATGGGAGCCCTTTGATTGAACTTGGTATAGAAAGGGGTTTAGTTATAGGTAATACATATTTTAAGAAAAAGAGGATAAATAAGTATACAAGATATGATGTAGGGCAAAATGACAGTAGTTTGTTGGATTATGTATTGGTAGATAAAAGACTGTTGAGTAGACTTCAGGATGTACATGTTTATAGAGGGGCCACAGATATATCAGATCACTTTTTAGTTGTAGCTACACTGAGAGTAAAAGGTAGATGTGATACAAGTAGAATAGAAGCATCAGGGAAGAGAGAGGTGAAGGTTTATAAACTAAAAGAGGAGGCAGTTAAGGTGAGATATTAACAGCTATTGGAGGATAGAAGGGCTAATGAGAGCAAAGGCAATGGGGTCGAAGAGGTATGGGGTAGGTTTAAAAATGTACTGTTAGTGTTCAGCAGAAGTTTGTGGTTACACGAAGAGGAGCGATTGGTGGAATGATGATGTAAAGAGAGTAGTAAGGGAAAAAAAGTTAGCATATGAGAAGTTTTTACAAAGTAGAAGTGATGCAAGGAGGGAAGAGTATATGGAGAAAAAGAGAGAGGTTAAGAGAGTGGTGAAGCAATGTAAAAAGAGAGCAAATGAGAGAGTGGGTGAGATGTTATCAACAAATTTTCTTGAAAATAAGAAAAAGTTTTGGAGTGAGGCTGTATAGCCCTTGTGGCTTAGCGCTTCTTTTTTGATTATAATAATAATAATTTGGAGTGAGATTAACAAGTCAAGGAAGCCTAGAGAACAAATGGATTTGTCAGTTAAAAATAGGAGAGGAGAATTATTAAATGGAGAGTTAGAGGTATTGGGAAGATGGAGGGAATATTTTGAGGAATTGTTAAATGTTGACGAAGATAGGGAACCTGTGATTTCGTGCATAGGGCAAGGAGGAATAACATCTTGTAGGAGTGAGGAAGAGCCAGTTGTAAGTGTGGGGGGAAGTTCGTGAGGCAGTAGGTAAAATGAAAGGGGGTAAGGCAGCCGGGATTGATGGGATAAAGATAGAAATGTTAAAAGCAGGTGGGGATATAGTTTTGGAGTGGTTGGTGCAATTATTTAATAAATGAATGGAAGAGGGTAAGGTACCTAGGGATTGGCAGAGAGCATGCATAGTTCCTTTGTATAAAAGCAAACGGGACAAAAGAAAGTGCAAAAATTATAGGGGGAGAAGTCTGTTGAGTACACCTGGTAAAGTGTATGGTAGAGTTATTATTGAAAGAATTAAGAGTAAGACGGAGAATAGGATAGCAGATGAACAAGGAGGCTTTAGGAAAGGTAGGGGGTGTGTGGACCAGGTGTTTACAGTGAAACATATAAGTGAACAGTATTTAGATAAGGCTAAAGAGGTTTTTGTGGCATTTATGGATTTGGAAAAGGCGTATGACAGGGTGGATAGGGGGGCAATGTGGCAGATGTTGCAGGTGTATGGTGTAGGAGGTAGGTTACTGAAAGCAGTGAAGAGTATTTACGAGGATAGTGAGGCTCAAGTTAAAGTATGTAGGAAAGAGGGAGATTATTTCCCAGTAAAAGTAGGCCTTAGACAAGGATGTGTGGTGTCACCTTGGTTGTTTAATATATTTATAGATGGGGTTGTAAGAGAAGTAAATGCGAGTGTCTTGGCAAGAGGCGTGGAGTTAAAAGATGAAGAATCACACATAAAGTGGGAGTTGTCACAGTTGCTCTTTGCTGATGACACTGTGCTCTTGGGAGATTCTGAAGAGAAGTTGCAGAGGTTGGTGGATGAATTTGGTAGCGTATGCAAAAGAAGAAAATTGAAAGTGAATACAGGAACGAGAAAGGTTATGAGGATAACAAAAGATTAGGTGATGAAAGATTGGATATCAGATTGGAGGGAGAGAGTATGGAGGAGGTGAATGTATTCAGATATTTGGGAGTGGACGTGTCAGCAGATGGGTCTATGAAAGATGAGGTGAATCATAGAACTGATGCGAGGAAAAGGGTGAGCAGTGCACTTAGGAGTCTGTGGAGACAAAGAACTTTGTCCTTGGAGGCAAAGAGGGGAATGTATGAGAATATAGTTTTACCAACGCTCTTATATGGGTGTGAAGCATGGGTGATGAATATTGCAGCGAGAGAAGGCTGGAGGCAGTGGAGATGTCATGTCTGAGGGCAATGTGTGGTGTGAATATAATGCAAAGAATTCATAGTTTGGAAGATAGGAGGAGGTGCGGGATTACCAAAACTGTTGTCCAGAGGGCTAAGAAAGGGTTGTTGAGGTGGTTCGGACATGTAGAGAGAATGGAGCGAAACAGAATGATTTCAAGAGTGTATCAGTCTGTAGTGGAAGGAAAGCGGGGTAGGGGTCGGCCTAGGAAAGGTTGGAGGGAGGGGGTAAAGGAGGTTTTGTGTGCGAGGGGCTTGGACTTCCAGCAGGCATGCATGAGCGTGTTTGATAGGAGTGAATGGAGACAAATGGTTTTTAATACTTGATGTGCTGTTAGAGTGTGAGCAAAGTAACATTTATGAAGGGATTCAGGGAAACCGGCAGGCCAGACTTGAGTCCTGGAAATGGGAAGTACAGTGCCTGCACTTTGAAGGAGGGGTGTTATTGTTGCAGTTTAAAAACTGTAGTGTAAAGCACCCTTCTGGCAAGACAGTGGAGTGAGTAATAGTGAGAGTTTTTCTTTTTCGGGCCACCCTGCCTTGGTGGGAATCGGCCAGTGTGTTAATAATTAATAATAATAATAATAATATCAATTCATATACACTGCATCAGTTTGGTTGTTATACTGTGCATAACTTTTGTAACAGATAAGTAAGCATGTTTGTGAGATAGGACTACTCAGCACTGTTTGCATACCTCTGCCCCTGCCTCCTTTTATAGACACACTTACACCATACATATACTACAGCTATTCTCTAGTGTACAAGAATTTGTCATCATTTAATAGTATCAATGGTATGCCAACTTGTTGAAAAAAAAGAAAAAGGGTATACCTTTACCTTTTATACACCTTTGGCTGGTTTCAAGAGTTTTTCCCTACTCCTGCAGTCCAGCTTTATGGGTATTATACTTAAGAGGAATATTTGAAAGGTAGAATAATATCTATGAAAAAGTGGTAGAGGTAGTGGTAGAGGATCCACACACAGTTTTAACAGCATGTATGATAGAGCCCACAAGGCTAAGAGGGAGTGAATCTGGCAAAGAGATAAGACCAGGCACTGAGACTTGACTCCTGTAACCACAAATAAGATTACAAGTAGTGAGTAGAGGACCTCTATTACATCAGTTGGTCAGAGGTTAAGAGGTGAAACTAAGAATTGGAGTTCAGTTGCAAGCTCAAATAGCCAATTACAAATAGTGAATTACAATTACAAATGGTTGAACTATCCCAGTCAACTAAATAGAATTAATGAAACTGGGAGATGGGGGGAGAGAGAGAGAGAATACCACCTCGGGTAAAGGAAATATCAAAGCAAAAACCAGGAAATCAGAAAAGGAATAATAATTCCACATCTGTCTTTTTTTTTTTTTATCACACTGGCCGATTCCCACCAAGGCAGGGTGGCCCGAAAAAGAAAAACTTTCACCATCATTCACTCCATCACTGTCTTGCCAGAAGGGTGCTTTACACTACAGTT